TTGGGATTCCTCATGTCCTGCAGCCCAGAGGCCTTTGCACAGCACTTACCACCACAGTATCCGAGAACCGATCTAATTGACGTGACACCAATTATTCAAGTGTCGCTAAATGCAGAATTAATGCATCTGTGTGTACAAACCTCCTAGACCCTGACGGTGACATGACAGCTCTGACACGAGAGGAGCTGGGGGGAGGACCAGCTCTCAGCTGAGCCCCCACCACCGCCGTGCCGGCCAGCGCTGCCGGGACCCCGCAGCTCGCTGCACGGAGCGTTGGGGCTGCAGCTGGGAAGGGTCCTGCACAGCTGGGCCAACCCGGGCAGCCTCAGTCCCTGAGCATCGTGACAGCCGGCCCGGGGAGCCACATGCTCTGCAGGGCACTGCAAGAGCCGTTCCTGGGCTGCTCGGCACAGCCCATGCAGCTTGCAAAGCTCTTGGCTCGGTCATGGGCTGGTGCTGGGAAAAGCCATTCATCGCATTTGAAATTTTACTGCGAAATTAAGCTGTGCCTGGACATGCAGAGCTTGGCATAGGCAGCGGTTTGTATTTTGTAAATTGCTTTCTACAATCAGTTAAAGAAAAGAGGTGGCTGGTGGCCGGGGGTGGGCACAGGGGGTGGCTCCTGCCTGGGCTGGCTCCAGGTCCCTGCGGCGCAGCCCAGGGGAGCAGCCTCGGCAGGGAGAGAGCACAGGGCTGGGGGGACCCTGCCCCTGGTTGAGAAGGACACGGGCTGCGAGGGGGACGGCCCCGTCAGCGGTGGCTCTGATCTACACCCGCACTGAATACCCGGCTGAGGGGCTCTTGCCCTCCTGCTGCTGGACACCCGGTCCCCTCTGCACCCGCTCGTGGCCGCGGTCACCGCCGCATGCCCCAGCCCCCAGGCACCAGCCGCCACCGGAGCCACGTCTCACCACTCCGCATGCTGCCGGCCTTGCCCACGGCAGGGGTTTGGGGGGCACAGCCCCATGGCAGGGGTTTGGGGCCATGGCCCCTGGCGTTCCCAGCAGCTGGGGGCTGAGGCTGCACTGGGCTCCCCACGACATGGGGCGTCCTGCAGACCCGTGGGCTGGCAGGGACCAGGGACCACAGAGCCGGCAGCACTCGGGGACAGTGAAGCTGGGAGGTCCCACGTGAGCCAGGGGATGGAGCGAGGCACAGCCGACATGGCAAAGCTCTGGCAACACCTCCCATGGCGTTTAGGCAGCAAGCATGGCGAGCACTGTGTGAGCGTTGGGCTGCTTGGATGGCCAAGGGCTCACCCCAGTTCTGGTTTGCTCAATGTTTTCATTAAGGACCTGGATGATGGAATAGAAAATCCCTTATTAAATTTGCAGATGACACGAAGCTGGGAGGGACTACAAGTATCTTGGAAGACAGGATTAGAATTCAAAATGATCTTGACAAATTGGAGAAATGGACTGGAAAAAATAGGATGAAATTCAAGAGAGACAAGTGCAAGGCAGTGTGCAGAGCCGGGAACAATCAGCTGTGCAAACACAGGCTGGGGATGGCAAGGCTGGCAGCGCTGGGCCCAGCCGGGCAGGCAGGCGGCATGCTGCCCGCTCAGCCCCGCAGGCCTGTGGGAACCAGAGGAGCGGGGAGGCAGGGGGAGCAGATGGGGGGAGCGGGAGGCTCTGTGGAGAGGAGAGGAACCTCCTCCGGCCTCCAGCCCAGCCCAGCCCCTCGGAGCTGGGCAACGGCTCCTCCCGGGGTCCCACCGGGCCAGGAGCCATGGTGAGATCCGGGGGACACGGGCCCCCACGCCCACGGGAGCTTTGCTCCACAGGTGCTTCCCGTGCCCGGGGCTCAGCGGGGTCCGGCCGCAGCCCCCAGCCTCGCGGTGTACACCCCTGCAGCCCCAGCCGTGCCCGGGGGGTGCGGGGGGTGCATGTGGCTGCCCGGCCCGGGGCTGAGGTCCCACCGAGCCCCTCCTGCTGCCTTCCCTTTGCTCCAGCAACTGGAGCTCCAGCCAGCACCCTCCCAGCCTGTGCAAACACCGAGACTCATTTAAATAAATTAAGACGACATAATAAATCAAAGGGAAATGAGGGGCTGTGCCTGGGGGCAGGGGAGTCACTCGAGTTTAATTACATTGGCAAGGCTCTTGCAACAAAAGCGTGGCGAGTCCCACACGCAGCAAGCACAGATGTGCAGGAGTGGGCACAGCTCCGCAGCCGGGTGGTGGCACCGCCCCGAAGCCTGTGCCCTGTCTCTT